TCCACAGAACTGAGGACATAGGTGCTCTCGATGTCCTGAGAAACTTAAGGCCATTTGAGTGGAAGTCTTTTTCTCTTGTGAATCCTGCTCACTGGGGAGAAATATGGTGCTCATTTGCGCCACACCTGCGATGAGCTGGGTGGGTTTTCTGTATCCACTATGGAAAAATGGTTCTTCTTGGAGGAGAGTCATGTCCTCATGCATTTGTCACTAACACACCAAGATGGGATTTCTCTATTCTCACTGGTGCTCAAGGTGACATTTTCATCCATAAATCTGTATGTGGTTTAAATATTATAATCAGAGTGCTAGCCATTGTTTAAAAATATAGTTTTCCTAAAATGTTTGCAAAGCCCCAGTCTCTAGAGCAGTGGCGTCCAGTAGAACTTTCTGAAGTGATAGAGATGACCTGCATCTGCACTGTCTAGTAACCTCATGTGGCTTAAAGCACCTGAAATGTGGCTATTGTGACTGAAACTGAATTTTTGATTTTAGTTAATTTAAATAGCCACATGTAGGCTAGGCACGGTGGCTCCCAGCACTTTGGGAGCCTGAGACGGGCAGATTGCTTCAGGTCAGGAGCTCAAGACCAGCCTGGTCAGCATGGTGAAACCCTCTCTCTACTAAAAATACAAAATAAAATAAAAATACAAAAAAAAAATAGCTGGGCATGGTGGCAGGCGCCCGTAATCCCAGCTACTTGCGAGGCTGAGGCATGAGAATCGCTTGAACCCAGGAGGCGGAGGTTGCAGCGAGCCCAGATCGTGACACTGCACTCCAGCCTGGGTAACAGAGTGAGACTTCATCTAAAAGAAAGAAATAAATGAATAGCCACATGTGTCTAGTGGCCATATTGCAAGCAAGATAACCACCCTTAACAATTAAAGCCCGTTTGCCTGGTGTGAACCTCTATGGTTATGCTGCTGTTTCTCGCGTGATTGACTTCAGAGTTTCCCTTTACTTCCTTCCGTGGTGGATGAGGGACCTGGTCTTGCCACACCACTTGCCTCACTTCTTTCCTCTAATTTCTCCAGCATCACAATTGCCTTCAGAGTGAAAAGAAATTAAAAATAGGGGCAGGGTATAATCCACTTGCTATCTAAATAGTGCTGGGCTGGAGGACACAGGCAGATACGAGCAACAGAAGGTTCTGGAGTTGAGTACTACCCATCATTGAGTCTGGAACTTTTCTGGTACTGAGAAAAACCTCCTGTGTCCACACTCGCTTCCCTTTGGACAAGTCAGTGTTTCACACACTTTTTCTGTTTTCAGCAACTGGAAAAGGAGCTGGTAGAACGTCAGCCTCAAGTGGACTTGCTGCAGGAGACTTCAAACAGCCTTCTCATTAAGGGACATGGAGAAGACTACATTGAAGCTGAAGAAAAGGTGCATGTTATTGAGAAGAAACTCAAACAGTTACAAGAGCAAGTGTCCCAAGATTTAATGTCCTTGCAGGGAACCCAGGTGAGTCTACTTGTAGCTTTTAAATGTAAAGATTACCATATTACATGCAAACAGGACAGCAGTGTTGCAGCCATGCTCTAAGACAGAGGCCAGAAGCAAGGGCCAGGTGGTCCGAGCAGGGCCTCATGTCGTGCCCTTTTCTAGCTGTGCAGACTTAAAGAGCTATATGTGCTCTTTGAATCTGTTTTGTCATTTTTAAAAGGGGGTAGGGGGTGACAATTTTTTAAATTTTTTTTTAAAGGAATTGACTAATTTTTGTATTTTTTGTAGAGAAGGGTTCTTGCCATGCTGCCCAGGCTGCTCTTGAACTCCTGACCTCAAGGAATCCAAAGTTCTGGCATTACAGGCATGAGCCACTGCACCTGGCCTACTTTAAAGTGGGATCCAACTCAAAACAAAGGGAATGCCCAGACTGTGGCCTCACCAGACTTAGGGCAGGTCTATTTTCTCCTAAGCAGCCTAGACTCTCTTGGTGGCCACATGATCTCATCACTGACCTGTGATGAGCTCACCATCAACTCGAACTGCTGCTGCTAAACTCAGTCTCCCCAGCTCTGTGCTATGGGTTGGTTTTTAATATGGGTTGACTTTTCCTTGTTTACATTCCTTTTTGTCTGTTGTTGTTGGGAGTGAGAGCAATAGAAGAGCCCCTTCAGGAAAGATTTAAGACTGGGCACAGTGGCTCATGCCTATAATCCCAGCACTTTGGGAGGCCAAGGCAGGTGGATCACTTAAGTCCAGGAGTTTGAGACCAGCCTGGGCAACATGGTGAAACCCCATCTCTGCAAAGAAAATACAAAACCAGTTGCGGTGGTGCATGCCTATAATTCCAGCTACTCAGGAGGCTGAGGTGGAAGGATTGAGTTTGGGAGGTCAAAGCTGCAGTGACCTGTGATTGTGCCAGTGCACTCCAGCCTGGGTGACACAGTGAAACTGTCTAAAACAAACAAAAAAGTTTGATTTAAGCTGGGGGAGGGTGAGCTGTATCATGAAGAATCTGCGTGAAACACATTTCTGTACTCAACCTTTGGGGTCTTAATTTCAGAACCCAACCCCACCCCTGCCCAGCTTCGATGAGGTAGACTCAGGGGACCAGCTTCCCACAGCATCTGTGCCAGCTCCCCGAGCAAAGGTAAGCAGCCCCTTTCCTTCTGTGAGAACCTCACTGGCTATTTTTAAAAGTCACTGAGTTGAGGGACACTTTGGATTCCAAGAGCCCATTAGCCATTTCAGGACAGCACAGGTCTCTGCTGACCCATAGAGAGGCTTACTCCAATTTTTTTTTTAATTAAAATACTCTTTTTAAGAACTTAAAGTCTGCCTTCTAGTCACTCTTCTTTGGGAGCACCGTAGGTTGTGAACGAGAGCTCTTAGTGTTGCTAAAGGGTTTTCCTGATTTTGCCATTAAAAACAGATCAACAAACTTGACCCTGAAACTCTTGAGTAGATGAACTGAATTATTTCCTACCTCAGGTGACATTTAATATTACTCTAGTCTCCAAAGTTTGGCTATAACACAACATAAAGGTGGTATATAATTTAAGGGAGGATTTTTTTGTTTTATCATTGATAGGACTCAACTGTCTTCAACTTACTAACTGGAGTTTCTTTACCCAGCAGTTGAGAGCAGCGAGAACTACAGAAGGCGAGGAGGAGACAGAGAGCAGGTAACAGGGCTTTACCGTGACAGCAGTCCTTTCCCCTGCTCCACACTCCCACTGCCTCAGTCTTGCCAATGCCACTATCAAGGTCCTTGCAAAAATCTGGTTTTGTTTTGTCTGGAAAGGGCTGGTCTTCTCCTCTGAAACTGAACCCCAACCGTTGGCCCCATTTAAATCTCAGGTCTTGGATTTCTTACTTACATAAGCGGGGGGTCAGGTACTAGAGTGGGTCGTGCCTGTGGAGCCTCCCAATTGGCTCTCAACCTCCTCTGTTGGCAGGGTCCCCGGCAGCACACGGCCGCAGCGCTCCTTCCTCTCGAGGGTGATCCGGGCAGCCCTGCCCCTGCAGCTGCTGCTCCTGCTGCTGCTGCTCCTGGCCTGCCTTCTGCCCTCCTCCGAAGAAGACTACAGCTGCACTCAGGCAAACAACTTTGCCCGGTCTTTTTACCCCATGCTGAGGTACACCAACGGGCCACCCCCGACATAAAGGACGTAGTTGGCCACAGGCCACACCACCTGCCTGATTGCTAAGGGTGCCCAGCACGTGGCCCCAGACCAATCTGAGTGACTTAGTGTTGGCAAGGTCCGGGGACCTATGCAGACACCTTCTTCTGGGCTTGCCCGGCACGCTCTCTGAAAGCCCAGGGCAGCTTTCAAATTGTGTTCCTCCCCAGGGGCAGGGAACCTGTGCGGCAGTTGCCCCGGGTATTTTGGCAAAACTAGTTGATTGGTTTAGGGATCTCTGGAAATGTCAATTTCCTGAAGAGCCAAGCACTTTGTGAATTCTGGTTTATTTGTAAAACAGCATTATTATAATGTAGGTATGGTCAATGAGCAGTGGTGTCCCTCACGTATATTATAGAAGCGAGCGAGCACATTCCACCCTAGAAATGGTTCAGAAACTCGTAGGCACCCTTAGCTGATCTGATGGAAACAATCACATTTAATATGTTTAGAATCAGTTTTACTCCAATCAGCTGGCAATTTTGAGCTACCAGTTATACACCAAAATGTTCTGTTCAGTACCTAGCTCTGCTCTTTTATATTGCTTTAAATTTTTTAAGAAATTATATTGCATGGATGTGGTTATTTGTGCATATTTTTTAACAATGCCCAATCTGTATGAATAATGTAAACTTCGATTTTTTTAAAAAATCAGATTTTAGCTGGAGCTTTTGACTAATGTACAGTAAATGCCAAACTACCGACTTGATAGAGATGTTTTTGTAAGTTAAATTTTCTAAGACTTTTTCACATCCAAAGTGATGCTTTGGGTTTTAACCGTTTGGCCACGGCAGGGGTTCGGGTTGAGGGGGTGGGGGTTGGTACGGAAACTTGAAGCTGTTTGTGATATGTACAACTCAGATGTTTCTCATTAAAAAACAAAATTAGCCAGACTTCTGTTGTACTGAATTCTATAACAAAGCAGTTCAAAGGTATGCTTAATCTTCCAAAGAACAAAAATTATTTTTAAAATATTGGGGAGGGCCTTTTATTCTAAACTAGTAAGTCTTATTTAACTTTTACAGAATTAACTTTTAGCTCTGGACCCTTGTGTATGTGTAAATTCTCAGTGTGTGACCTTCAGATGCTGTAGGGAATGGCAAAGGCAACATGGCATGAGAGGTGGACACGAAGGGAGGGATCTTATACCCAGTTTCTTTTTTTTTTTTTTTGACAGAGTTTCACTCTGTCACCCAGGCTGGAGTGCAATGGCCCAATCTTGGCTCACTGCAACCTTCACCTCCCAGGTTCAAGCCATTCTCATGCCTCAGCCTCCTGAGTAGCTGGGATTACAAGCACACCCCACCATGCCTGGCTAATTTTTATATTTTTAATAGAGACGGGGTTTTGCCATGTTGGCCAGGCTGGTTTCAAACTCCTGACCTCAAGTGATCTGCCCACCTTAGCCTCCCAAAATGTGAGCCACCGTGCTTGGATTCCCAGCCTGCTCCATGGTAAATTAACAGGCAAAGCCCCTTGTTGTCCATTTAAGTCCAGTAACATTTTACTTTCTAACTAAACAAAGAGGATAGGCATCAGCATTTCCCCTTTCTTGATTGGAAGATACTGAACACAGTTCCTAGTTCCTAACCTGCATCTGTTGGCAGACACAGCTGACCACACAATCCCAGTCCCCTCCTCCCCTTCTCTGCAAAGCACAAACCTCAGGGGAAAGCAGTGAAGCTCATCAGTAGCTGAAGCCTCAACTTTCCACATTGGTGCCCCTCATGAGTGAGACATCCGCAAGGCCTGGGCAGTTAGGGAGACCATCTGAAGAGAATCTGTCTTCACTTTACCTTCAGTGTTTAAAGTTACCAAATTGTTGGATTGATACAGAAAGGAAGGTGGTTTTTAACCACATAACTAACTTCAAAGTAGTTTAACTCTTTAAAATTATTTTCATGGATTACAATGATCCCAGAGGGAAACTGAAGTGAAAATGTTACCCAAGATTTTTCTTTAGGCCACCGAGTTGATTAGAAGGTCACAGATCCATCCGTTGCTTCAGGCAAAAGAGTATCTCCGTCTTCCATTCCAAATGAGGTGAGTGAGTGAGAGGCCTTTTCTGCCCTTAAGTAGAGATGTGGGACAAGTCAAAGTTGCAGTGAAAGGAAGTGTGGTCTGCATTTCAAAGCCTAATACTGTGCATATCAATTTTCGTCTCTTCCTCAGGATGAAGGCCTTTAATCTGGTTTGCCCCCCCCATCTCCAGGGAGGCCACTGTAGCTTCTTTCACTCAGAGCTCAGTGTATTCCCAAAACTCTTTTATGAGGTAGTCTGGGTTTTATATCATCTGCAAATCTTTCATTGCCCACATGCAAGGGACATTTTCATATGACTCTTGGCACTAAGATAACTTCAAATGAATGAATTGCTTTTCTCCCCATCTCTAAAGGATATAATTCTAATCAAACTCAGATAGAATGATTACAGAAAATCTATCCAAATAATTGATGCACTAGATACCAGGACTTGTGTGGGCCCCATTTTACTTGTGTACACGGGACCTGTGGTCATAAATCAATCACAGGTGTGAGATGAGCTGACTAAACATGAGATTGTTCTTTTTAAGAAGCCATACATTAAAGCAGAGCTTCTTCACTCTTCTGAAATCGTACTCAACCATTTGTGTTCAGATGCCCTTTCCCAGGAAAACTAGCCCTGGTTTTCATCAAATTCTCAAAGGACTCTCTAACCCCAAAATACTAGAATTCAGAATAGAATGTAGACACTACTTAGCCTAATTACTGTAAGTTCTCACACTCAGCCCCCAACAAATACATTTTTAAAGCCAAAATAATGAAACACTTTATTTATATCATGTTAAACTCTCTGCGACAGTGCCACAGACATTAAAGGGACACAGTAAGGAAAACACTCCCTGGGGGAAGGGAAAGCAGGTCTCACAATCTGCTTTCACATAGCAGCAAACATTCATTTCTACAAGGCCCAAATGTAAAGCCTGCAAATGAAATCAACAAATTAGTGTAATGGTACAAAGCATTCGTCTGAGAAAATGGCAAATGATAGCCAACCAACAGGCTCTGAGGTACACACTGATAAAAGGCATAGGACCCACAGTTAAGGCATTGAGACACCCAACAGAGGAAACAACGGCAAAAACATCCATTGTACAGTCAACGGGAACTGTTCGCAGCTGGCATCGCCACTCCTTATGTGCTTCCCATAGAGGAAACCCACTACCAGTTACCAGTGGCTGGTCCTACAAGTGAATAGGATCCCTGGAATTAAAAAAAAAAAAAAAAGGCCGGGCGCGGTGGCTCACACCTGTAATCCCAGCACTTTGGAAGGCCGAGGCGGGCAGATCACAAGGTCAGGAGATCAAGACCACGGTGAAACCCCGTCTCTACTAAAAAAAATACAAAAAATTAGCCAGGCGTGGTGGCGGGCGCCTATAGTCACAGCTACTCAGGAGGCTGAGGCAGGAGAATGGCATAAACCCGGGAGGCGGAGCTTGCAGTGAGCTGAGATCGTGCCACTGCACTCCAGCCTGGGGGACAGAGCGAAACTCCGTCTCAAAAAAAAAAAAAAAAAAAACAAAACAAACAAAAAAAATCCTTGACCCAAAGCAACAGAAATGGCACTACAGTCACACATCACAGACAATGCGCATCTTAAGAGCCGCCACTGGAGCCAAAATTCCAGCAAGTTTGAGAGCTATAAAAGAAGTGGCACGTGTTTTCACACTATGATACTATATCACACCACAGGGAAGCATCAGTGCCTAAAAGGTGTGAGTTTTACACGAGTACACTTCCAAGGAACATGTTCCATGTGTTTGGGGAAAGCAGTCACAGATCGCAGTACCCACTAGCTCACGAACCTGGGATGGGACGATGGGAATAATAGAATGCATCTTATTTTTCCATCTGTCATTGCTGTTCTGTAAAGGTTCATGCAGACCCACCTAAGCTGAGGTGACGGGATCTAAAGGTACAGCAGAAGACAACCCTAAGTTTACCACCCCTCCATTCTGCTGCGACTCAGCTCACAAAGCAGATTCTCACAGAAGCAAGTCCGGGGGCAGGAGCAGTACTGGCCCGCTGGGCAAGCAGAAGACTTGCGTGCCAGTCCAAGCTTTGCCATGGGTAGTTTTACAACCTCGAATAGGTGAATTTGCCCCCGTGGGCTTTAATTTACACAGATATGAAAGGTGGAGTTAAACTTTTATGTGAGAGGTTTACAGACTTACTGTGTCTGTAGGGGTGTTCTGGACATTGTGGTGGGAGGTAAGGGGGTATTACAAGGGGGCCCCATTTAAATCACAGCAGCCATGCATGTCATGTTGCACCTGACAGAGAGATTCTGCAGTTTTAAAATATTTGTCTTTAGATTTTTAAACTGGTTGAAGTGCATGGTCACTGTCAGCACTGGACTTGGACTGCCTGCATTCAGCTCTTATCACCTCCCCATGTGACCTTGAGGGAGTTTGCTTAGACCCTGTCTAGTTCCACAACCAGAAAATCAGGACAATAGCAGTTATTATAATAAGGATTAAATATGAATATCTGAGGCATTGAGAACTGTGTCTGGCACAAATATTATCTTTAGGTACTAAATAATGTGTTTTCATCTTTTTAAAAGGTTTTCAGCAACTGAAAAAAAATGTGGCGGGGCTGGGCACAGTGGCTCACGCCTGTAAGCTCAGCACTTTGGGAGGCCTTGGCAGGCAGATCACTGGAGCCCAGGAGTTCAGGACCAGCCTGGGGAGCATAGTAAAACCCCATCTCTACAAATACTAAAAGAATTAGCCAGGCGTGGTGTTGTGCACCTGTAGTCCCGGTTACTCAGCAAGGGTGGGAATGGGGTGGGATGGGGCGCTGAGTGGGAGGATCGCTTGAGCCCAGGAGGTCAAGGCTGCAGTGAGCCATGATGGCGCCACTGCACTGCACTCTAGCCTAGGCAACAGGAGTCAGACCCTGTCTCAAAAAAATAAAAATAATAAACAGTGTCAAATCTTATTAAATGAAGATACTTTGTTTCAAAATAGGCCTATAAACAGAAGGTTCACTTTGAATTTGTAAAGTCCCTTAGTAGATGTCATAAGAACCAAACCCTGTTTTCACATGCTAGAAAATTCTAGAATTGCTTCAACTCCACTTACATGTATAAATATATATGGATATATAATGTGGCTCTGCCAAGTATTGGTAACTGATGTTTCTTCCTTACTGAAATCTAAAATAGTTGCCCTTCCAGCTGAGTTAGCAGGGGAAGTGTTCCAGATCAAGACTCGCACTGCACAGCTCCCATCGATTTTGCACTGTTTTATTTTTAATGCAGTTAAGAGTCCTCAGATTTGTTACTAGGCTGACAGCTTTGTCTCATGTTCCCACCTTAATTTTTTTAGAAAAATCCCTTCAAGACTATTTTAGGGTCAAATCTTTTGTAGTCAGTCGTGGTGGGCAGTGACTATGAGACAGGCCTGACAGGGGTGCCGTGAGAACAGAGGGAGATTTGGTGAGAATAGCTCAGCTGGAAACTCACTGTGCGGCGCTCCTGATACTGCCCACTCGAGGCTCTAAAGGGATTGCCATTGGCAGTTCGCTCCCAGGAGTAGAAGTGAACACATCTGTCTTAAGATCTACTCTCAAAAAAAAAAAAAAATATATATATATATATATATATTCCACGTTAATTTTTTTTTTTTTTTTTTGAGACAGGGTCTTCTCTGTCACCCAGGCTGGAGTACGATGGTATGATCTCGGCTCACTACAGCCTTGATCCCCCCAGGTTCAGGTGATCCTCCCACCTCAGCCTCCCAGGTAGCTGGAACTACAGGCCTGCACCACCACACCTGGCTAATTTTTGTATTTTTCGTAGGACAGGGTTTCTCCATGTTGCCCAGTCTGGAGTCAAACTCCTGGGCTCAAGTGGTTCACCCGCCTCAACCTCCCAAAGTGCTGGGATTACAGGCGTGAGCCACCGCATCTGGCCTTGTTTTGGTTTTTTATGTTTTTGTTACCTGGTAATCTCTTTTAAAAATACCTTTAATAGAATTTCACTGGCACATAATGAGTTGTTGAAGGCTGCCTTCTTTGCCTCTTACTTCCTACTCTCCAGCTTCCAAACCCCTCTATTGGGAGTGGGGCATTCTAGGCTGATCAGGAGGAAAGAAGCTGACACTAACACTGGTTCCCTGGTTCCTATGAAACCAAGCTTATCCTGCCTGTACTAAATCTTACTAAGGCTGTAACACTGAGTCACTAAGAATAACTTCAAACTGCCTCAGAACGCAGACATCAGTGTGTTCTCTAGGTACTTGTCCAAGCGTTTCTGAAACAGCTAAGCTCAACTTTTAGTAAAATTGCACCAATATCAAAATTACAGATTATTCAAAGTCTTACTAGCAAAAACCAGTCTTGGTAACACTGAATGTAATCTTCCTAATGACTTAGTAAATACAGGATGTGCTAGCCAAAGTGAACATATTTTTTAAAAATATATATTTAATATCACATCACAAGGTAATTGTTTAAAACATTACTGCAATAATGAAACATGATTATTTAATTGCTCACTTTCAAAGTATGCTGTTACTCATTTTGCACATTCACTGTGTTTTTGACATTTCAGAGGTGCCCTTCTTCATATCCTGTTTATGGTTCCACTTGAAATAAGAACTAATACTTTTACTGTTTCTTTTTCACCCAGCCCACCATATAAATTTTCCAATAAGAAAATATTTTTAAAAGCGCTCTCAAGTGTAAAAGAATTTTTTCTTGCTATAAATAATTATCCCTAAATATTTCTGTTTAAGGAGAGTTCACAAACTGGGTCTTGTTCAAGGGGTGTACTCATCAAGGCTATACAGTGTGGCCCCAGAACTGACACGCTGGGGTGCATAGCTACTCATCCACCCATAAAACAGCACGCCATGCACATCCACAGCCCAAAGTGTCCCTGACTACTTGGGGTAGCTGATGTGGCAGTTGTGGCTGCTACTTATGAGGTTGTACAAGATGGAAACTGCATCCACAGTGCCCCAGGGAAACACTGTGGCTGTCACCCACACCCACAGGAGAGAACCCCATTCCTGCAAACATGGCCTTTCTCCAGCACCCATCCTGGCCCAATGGGACAACAGGTTTAAGGAAGGGCAGTTCCAGGAGCAGGGAGATTTGTATCTCCCACAGTTCTCCATGAAAATGATCACATGTTCATATACACATACCCCAAATTATTGGCAGGCTCTGTGAATGCAAATCAAGAGGGACAAATCTGCAGCTGGCAGCAAGGTCAGGGAGAGAACATGACTCACATCCCAGCTTGACTACAGTCCCTCTGGCCTTTGACAGAATAAGCATCATGATATGATCAGTCCCCACAGGCCTGGGAGGTAAGTACGCAGATGTCACGGGGGTTTTCAATCTTACAATCAAGTGGTCCAGAAAAAAGCATACAAAGGTCAACTCTCAAAGGGAAGGGTAGTGTGTACTGCAAAAGAAGGGTTAGCCCACTTCCTGTAAGCAGGTCACTTCCTCTCCCCTCTGATTCACGGCCCTTCCAAGTCAGATTTCCACCATTCATTCCAAAACCTTTAAGATGTTTCACAAAGGGAAGGAAGGAAGATGGAAAGTAAGAATACCACATTGAGATCCTATGAGGCCATTCAGTGTGGAAACGCTGCATTCAAATGTGCCCTCCGCTAACAAGGAAAACTATGGCTTCCTCCCCCTGACTCCTGGGAGTTGGGGAGGGCGAGGGAAGGACGGTACAAGACCAAGCCTGCCATCACCAAATGATGGACCACACAGCAGAAAGATGAAGCCCAGGCTCCCGACACACGAGTTCACGCTTCAGCCTGTGACCTCTGTGGGCCCGTTCACCTCAGGGCCAGGCGTCACTGAGATTGTGGGTTCTGGGAGCCCTCTTTGTTTTTACTGTCCTCTGCCGGGCTGCACGCGGACCCCGTGATGGAGGACTTGCACCCGCGAAGCACGTGGGCATTCAGCATCTCCAGCAGCAGGTCATACACTGGGACCACGTTTTTGCACTTCATGCTGAGCAGATGTTCCATGCCCTTGTTACTATGGGGACAAAAAGGTGCTGAGATTCCCTCCTCCAAGGCAGCCACAGGAACACCGAAGACTTCCCCAGCTCCCTGCTCAGAGTCAGTCTACCCCACCCCTAACTCCACTCTTCCCCCAGCCCATTTATCCATGGCTCATGCATCCAGCTCCCCCTGATAATTTAGGCTCAAGGGCAAGGACATTGTCAGCCTCTGTGTCCCACCACACACCCATGATGGCCTGGCACATAGGACAATAGATTCTCATTATTTGCAGTAATCATGTTCTATAAAATCATTGTGAACACTGACTCCTCACTCCTAGGGGAAATACAGGGTTAGGTTCCTGCAAGCCTCTGGCCACATCTTCATCAGCTGATCAATACAAAACCTTGTTTTATGTGTGTTTCCTTCTAAAGATGCCTTATGTAATCAATACTATTGACTCATTAACATTGAACTCATGGCCAACAGCACTATAACTCACACCTGAGCAAAGCTTAACACATACTTTCTCCATAAGGCACATCACAGCTTTTTCACACCAAGGAACACTAGACAGCTCTTCAGCCCCACACCAGGGGGCCATTTTCAACAATGAAGTCACTCACCAAAGGCTCAAAAATGTAAAACCATGGCACTAAGTAGACCAAGTAAAGGACACTTGTTGACAGTAGGAGAGCAGCTGCTTGTTCCGTCTCAGCTGGGACTGTGCATGAAGGGCAACTCAAAGTTTTTGCCACTCTGTTCATGACCTCAAAAACACCACGAATATTGATTTTGGGGTTACAAAGAAATTTTAGCAAGCAGATAAATTTACATTGAAGGAATCTACAAACAGGATCTGTTCTGCAAATGGCTGTATGCTGAGTAATCATTAAAGGGGAAAGGCAGAGGTCTTCATCTCCTCTCACTTAAGATTCTTGAGGTGTATATTGTCCTTCTGCGTAGCCTTTAGACTTGCCTCCTCAGTGACCAATTAATTACCTTCTATCCTCCCCTCCCCTCCTCCAGCTCCAGGGCAAGGCTACCCTCATCGTGGGTGACACCAAGCACTGAGCATCATTGTACCAACAGTAGCCACCACTACACACCCTCTTCATCAGCACGCACAATTACATTTCCTGATGAGAAACGCCCTACCCACAGCCCTTCTTTCCTAAATCTGCTGGGCCCACCACTTCTCTTAAGTCTTATCCTTAATTTCCTGATGCCATCGAAAGAACAACTCTTAGGGAAGCATTTGTGCACTTCTCCATATCACCAGCTCGAGGGGCCATCTAGGAGAGCGGGTCTTAGCCTCTCCACAAAAAATGACCTCAGGGCCTCAGCCCTGGGTGGTATAAAGAAGAGTGGCAGTTCATGTTAGGGGAGGAACTGTCCCTTTTAGGAGTCCATAAACAGGCTATAAACCCCAGCAACTGAAAAACCGATGAACCACCAGTGGCTGCCATGCAGATCTTGTAAGATACCACATGACATTCCTTCCGTGTCCACTCTGTACCCATCTTTGGCTACAGGTGTGTGAATTGACAAATCCCCCGTTCACTTTCAGGCATCATTTTCCTTAACCTGCAGACACTTTTCCCAAATCACTTCACCCTCCGTTGAGCCCATAATCCCACCCCACGCCCGAGCGGAGCAGCTCCTGAGAGCACGTACCTCGCATGCCTGACGTGGGACAGGAGCATCAGGAGGTTAGCCAGGCGCATGGATTGCTGCTGGGAGGAGATGCCGCTCTTGGCGATCACCCAGACCAAAGCGTCGGTCACGGCGTTCAGCAAGTGGGCCAGCTTCCGGCTGCTGTCAGCATCCTGGGTCGCTGTGACCAGAGGGTACATATCTGGACAAAGAATAAAAGCCACAAGTCATTGCTCTGAGCAAAGGAGCGGAAGTCGTATGCTCAGCTGTTCTGTGTGCCTGCTCCGAGGTAATCTGGGTGCTTTGACAGCTGCATGTGTGGCAAGACCTTATAAGCATGGTCTTACCTCCCCAGGGGCTCTTCCCTGACAGCCAGTCCCATCACAGAGCTAGAAGAGAAGCCTGGCCTAATGCAGACAGACTAAATTGCCACTTGAAGTGCCCACCAGACCCATAATTGTGGCCTTGCCATGGCAAGTGTATCTGGTCTCCTGAAACCATTCCATGGTGTTTCTCATCTGCAGCAACAGACACAGAGATGGTCAGAAGGCGAGATTAATTCTACTTTTACCCCATGGAGGGCTCCCCATCTAAAGGGAGTTTAATAAAGGAATGGCCAATATGATGAAGCCTCCTCTGCCACCTCCTTGTGTGTACCACACGCCTCGGACAGCCATGGCAGGGCCCCTGCTGCCACCTCTACATTCTCACTTGAGTGGCACCTGGCTGGGGCAGGAAGACCACTGATTTGGAGTCAGATGGACCTACTTCCTAGCCACCATCTGGAGCTCTCTGAGCCTCAGTTCCTCACTGAGCAATGCATGCAGGAACACATCTGCTTAGGTCCCCACAACCATGCCCTGGGTAGGCTGCCTCCCCCATCCTGCCCTGCCCTGTGTTTAACTCCCCTCCAACTCTAGGGCTGAGACACTGTGGCATCCCAGTGGCAGCAAAGTAACAGCTCAGGTAAATCTCCTCCCCGCCCCCCGCCCCGGACCCCTGACTCCTTGATTCCCTTTAATAATTAGCTTCTCTTCCAGGCTTTCCATTTCAAAGCAAGAATAAATATGTGAAATCAACCAGGGAGCTGCTGAGTCTTGGCTATCATGAAACTGAAGATGGCTGGTGCTCCAGCATCCACAGAATTTGTTTTGGTAGTTTTTGTTCTCTATTTTTATTGGCATTTTCAGTTCAATTAAGCCAGCTCAATTCAACTAATTTCAACTCAGTTAAGGCAACAGATGTACTGAAGCACAATTATGTAAGTGTAGTGCTTTGCCACATCCCTAGGGACCTCCATAATGTCTGATGATGCAGATTTAAAATATTCATCTTTTCAATAGCCCTGAAGCCGCTTCTCCGACCCTCCTGCTCACTTTGTTCTCCACACTGGTTCTTCCAGAGTCCCCCCACATCCTCAGACCTCCCACTGTCACCCCAGAGATGACTTGCCCTCCCACTTCAGAGGAAACAAGACCCTACCCTTGACCCCGTGTGTCCCCTTCTGAGTGGCCAAAATGCAGATCTGCTCATGGGGCTTCCTTTAATGGCTTCCCAGCTAATAGGATCAAGTCCAAACCACCTGGTGCAGCTATCAGGGGTACCAGGGCCCTCCCTGCTCCTCTCATCTGCAGTTCCCACCACACCTCGCCTTGAGTTCCCCTCAAGGTGACGCTCTGAACATGCTCAACTTGCTGCTTGGAAACTCTCCTTCCTCTTTCTCTACCCTGATTCTCTTGCTCATTTATACCCATTCCTCCTGTGGATTCCAACATTGTCATGAAATTCCTTCTGGAAGCTTCCCCCAACCTCCCTACCATCCCACCCTAAGTCTGGTCTGAGGTGTCCCCTGATGCTCTGACAGTGCCCTGTTTATCCCCAGCAAAGGCTCCACATTGCCCCACATGCTGGATGTCTGCTTGTCCCCACACACACTCCACAGCCACCCTTCTGCCCTCAGCAAGACTGGACATGAGTGCTTTGAGGGCACAGACCGTTTTTTTTTTGTTTGTTTTGTTATGTTTGTTTGTTTTTGAGACAGAGTCTCGCTTTGGAGTGCAGTGGTGGGATCTCGGTTGACTGCAACCTTCGCCTCCCAGTTTCAAGCAATTCTCCTGCCTCAGCCTCCCTAGTAGCTGGGATTACAGGTGCACGCCACCATGGCCCGGCAAATTTTTTGTATTTTTAGTAGAGATGGGGTTTCACCATGCTGGCCAGGCTGGTCTCAAACTCCTGACCTCATGATCCACCCGCCTCGGCCTCCCAAAGTGCTGGGATTACAAGTGTGAGCCACTGTGCCCGGCCAGACCCTTATTTTTTTGACCAAACTCACCATCATATTTGAAATGGTAAATATGCATGCTAATGTATGTGTTAGGTACACACAGAAAATTATCAAAAGTACAGAGAAAATTATTTCAAGCTTACTTAGCTGCACAAACAAGTGCTTCCTTTTAACTACCCTGTAGTCTGTTCAGCTGCATGACATGTGCTCCATGGACTTCCATTGCCATTAAGAAATACTGTGTCTGGGAATTCCAAAAGGAGCCAAAATTGTGTGCCTGTACATGTCTCAGTTCAAAGTGACAAAGATTGAAAATATAAAAACAAATCCTCAGATTATACACAAATGTTCATAGCAGCATAACTCAGCCTAAAAGTGGAATGTACACTAACTAATGAATGGCTCAACAAAATGTGCTCTATCCAGACAGTGGAATAGTATTCAGCTACGAAAAGGAACAAGGTACTGGTACAGATGAACCTCGAAAACATCAGGCTAAGCAAAAGAAGCGAGACACAAAGGACCACATGTTGTATGATTCCATTTATAATAAAATGTCTACAATAGGCAAATCCATAGAGTCAGAAAAGCAGACTAGTGGTTGCCTAGGGGTGTGGGTGGGATAGGGAGTGGAAAATGATGGCTAATAAGCATGGGGTTTCTTTTCAGGTGATAAAATTGATGTTCTAAAATTGATGGTGGCGATGGTTGCACCACTTACCGTGAATAAACTAAAAACATTGAACTGTATACTTAATATGGAGAAATTATATGGTAGATGAATTATATCACAATAAAGCTGTTACTAAAAATAGTAATGATAATAATAAAAGAACGCCTCAGAACCAAAATTACAATAACACAAATTCCCTGGGCTGTGTGCGACCAAGGTTCCCCTCAGAGAATATGTATGTGTCATTGTGTTACTTCACAAACCACAGTCATTGCCAAGGTCAGACCCTGGGCCTTCTGCAGGCTGTAGGGGCAGCACAGCTCTACGTGGGGCCCAGAGTCCATCAGCCACAGCGGTCTGGGGAGGTGAGGCACTGCAGTTTTGGAAAGGCATATACTAAATCCATTTTACATATGGCAGGGGAAGGGGGGAACAGTGTATATACAAAAAGACCGACCTATTTAAAATTATCCTGGGGACTCCTGCTCTCACTGAGCACATAGAAAAGAAATACCCTCCCGGAAAGGAACTGTGCTGAAGAATACCCATGCTGATGCCTGGTTCTCCAGTCAGCAGTGCCGTGCCTGCACCTCGGGCATCCGTGCTCCGGCCCTTGCTCCTCAAACGCATTTCTACAGAGTACTTGCTAAGTAGCAGGCCCTGGGCAGGGTGGAGCAAAGGACAGGATCCAAAGCCCTGCCTAGTCAGACACAGAAAACAACAAAAATGTAGCACCCTCTCCACCCCCGAAAAGTAAAAACATCAGGATTCACTGTAGAACAAAATTAAATTACTTTTCATGAAACTGAAGAAGTATAGTTTAAAAAAAAAAAAAAAAGACAAGATCTTGGCACCATGCCCCACACATACCACAGAAAGTGAAATAAAATCAAGGACACAATCTCCTCTCCCCTTTATCAGCTGGGAACAGCTGTGTGCTCCTCTCACCGGCCCACCTGATGACATTCTGAGCAGCACAGCGGTGGGGGACAGCCACCCCTCCTTCAAGGTTTGCCACGTCTGATTTGTGCAAAGGATGAAAACCTAAGCTTTCCTTGACTGAAGGCAAATAAATGAGAAAAATCAAATGTGTTAATGAAAGTCCCAGAATACTGACCAAAGGAAAGAAGTCCTGGCTTTGGGGAGCTGTATGCAGCGTTTGCTTGTTTGCTTTGAGGAAAGGAACCTCTGGCCGTGACCCACACCCTCTATCACCACCTCCTGCCCCCAGCACATGAGGGAAGATGGGACTCAAAAGTTGCCATGGTGTGAGGCCGGCAGGCTGCTGTTCAACTGTGCTTTGCCCCAGCGTTCTTGGTCAACAGAAAAGGACCCCCCCCATCTTTCCTCATCAGCATCCCTCTGTGTCTTTGTCTTCTCCACCCACGCACTTCATGGGAACTCTCCCTATAAACTCAGAGGGAACCAAGGTTTAAGCCAGTGTCTCTTAATAACTTTCTTAATGTAAAATAGGATTTCCTGGCCTAACCCCTCTATTTCTTTCATTTAATGAAAAGTTTCATCCTTCGTAAATCTTAAAACTGTTTAAATAGACTTGTTTCGAATTTAAAATATTTTAAAGACTATGGGATAATTGATGTAATTAATTACACTCTAATTCCTAAATTCCATACCCCCTCTAATTCTATCCAAGGGAGGGTTTATCTAGTCCTCAGGCCCCTGGGTGGCAAGATGGCCAGTCTATCTGTTGGGTGTTGGGTAGGCTATTAACTATGACACTTGCATAACACCTTAGAGTTTATAAAAACACTCTAACAAGCATTGTAACAGGTTGTTAAATGCAACATTTTCTGTTGTCTCTTAGTCTCAAGAGCCATATCAAAGGCTAAGTATGGTACAGGAATTCCAAGTACCACATATCCTATATATGCATAGTGGAAGAGGACTGGCTGAGAGAGTTAGAATGTTGTGGTCCTTTCCCTTCCCTCCCCAGGAGAGAAATATGTGCCTCTCCACTTAAGCCCATGAAGGATCAGACCTTTGATTAACTATTTGAGTGTATATCCCATTCTAGACCAAAAGCATTGTATATAAATCATTTTGACATCCTTAGTATTTAGAAATCGTTGATATACAGACCAGAAACTGAGCTGAAATTTAGTTAGATGACAGTTCATTTCCATTCCATATTATAGCCATTGTTAGTAGATATGCATAACCCAGAAATGGGCAGCTTGTAATATGACTACTGACTACCCCCGACCTGGCCAGCTAGCGTGCTGTA